AGAGAGAGAGAGAGAGACAGGGAGCGAGAGAGAGAGAGAGATAGATAGATAGATAGATAGAGCGAGGGAGAGACGAAGACTGGTATATGCAAGCAAAATCGATTGTAGTAGCCCGGAAAGGAAGCCTGTCTCGTGCAATCTTTCACTGAGTTAAGTATGTGCCTGGAAACCATATAATCTAGGGGCCTTAATAGTTAGAATAGGGTTTTGGGGCATCTTATACCATAATCATAATAAGGATCCCCAAAAATAGTATTGGTAATTCTTTAGGCCCCTATAGTAGCTAGCAGCTGCTGGCAAGCAAACGTGCGCGCACCTACGATTAGTCACCTGGCGGACATCACCGCCAAGTGCCGTCTGTACACGATAAACTGCCCATGGACCTTGCCACAAACAGAAGCACCTGACTCAAACAAGACTGAAACTTGCGACATTTGCAAAGAGATGACTGAACATATGCAATCGAACATCCACAGTGGAAATCTCCGAATGGGCATTCTTTTGCATCTGCTTAGGCTTTAGTCGAATTCGTCGGCCACTGGTCGCAGCCGTTTAAGTCGCGGTCAAGTCGCCCATAACCCTGGACCCTGCTCAAGGGCCCCATGCTTTACAATATGTTGGGTGCTGAGTAGAATTGAATAGAAACGGTGGTTCTATTCGTGGTTCTATTCTTCAGGTCTAGGAATAGCGCGTAGCTCACTCTCGTGCCTCTCTGCCAGCCCAGAACCGCTGCTGCTGCTCCTCCTCCTACTACTACTAGTAGTACTCCTGCTCCTGGTCCTCCTCCAGCTGCTGCTACTGTTACTACGCCTACCACTACTACCGCTACCATCAGGAACCAGCACCAGCACCAGCACCACCACCAGCAACACTACGATGACAAGTGTCGGTCGTCATTCGTGCGCGCGCAGTAAATTGCCACAAGTGCCAGGGTACCAGGGGCGTGCTCTTTGAAGGGCAGCAGATGCATGCATATGCCAAGAGCTGAACCAAATGGAGCTTCCGGCTCCTTCCACCTTGTTTCCATGCCATATGAGAGTTTCCGAAAATAAGGGACCCTCATGTAGTACCCTCAATAGTAGGATCCTTATTATAAGGACCCCAAAATAAGGTACCCCCTTATTTTCGGAAAGTCCCATATGGTTTTTGACACCACCATACTGGGGCAGACCGAACTGGAGAACACGGCGCCGAGGCTTTGAGGTTTAAATGTGGCCCTTGGCTATAGTCTCCATTGTAGTTCCTTCTTTTGGTTTAACCAATTTTGTATGAAGGATCCTAAGAGGTAAACCCCAAAAAGGAACTACAATGCGTGACTACAGGTAGTGTAGCGGGACTTCGAGGACCTCCGTTTAACATGGCCCTCAAAGGCATCCCAGGCTTCAAGACCTAAACTCTAAACCTTAAAATCAAACCCCGAACTTGACAAACTGGTGAAAGGTGCCGGCAAGCTGAGAGAATTTGCTTCTTCACAGAGGCTGCAGGACATCCCCGCTCTAGCCGTGAAGGAGATGCACGAACAGCCCCCTCGGCTGGTGCTGTGATGGAGTCCTAGCTGGGTTTGCGGTTTCGGGTTTCAGGGATGACGTCGTCTGTCATCCGGGATGGAGGAATTCGAGCGGGCTTGCTGGGCATATTCTACCCCATTCTGTTCGAAGGTAATCCGAGTTCCGACTCGAATGTTAGCCACCCTGACTGATGCTTCAGAAAGACTTCTCGCATAAAGCTCAGTGGAGGGAGGCGCAGAGAAGTGGAGTAAGTTGGGAGTTGCTCTGATCTTTGGTTGAATTCAAACACCCTCGCACCTCAATTCTGCCTACAGTAGGGCATAGGCGGTGGCTTGCAATCCTACAGCATCATGAGTTGGAACTACTGTAATCATGGGGGGGCGGTTCTGCAAGCTTCAAAGCCAGAGGAGGCACCTGCACGCAGCGGTCGTGCAGTGTGCACGGTGTGCGTTCGCACACAGGGCCATCAGCGAATCTGTAGGCAAGTCTCCGTAGCGTGAACTTCGCCAAATAGCCCCGAGATGAACAAGTTCCGACTTTTCACTGCCGCTTTTTGAAGGCCAATGGGAGCGAATTAACGATTCACAACAGGTTCTGAGTAATCTCAAAAGCCCCCAGAAACAACATTAAGCACCTCCCGAGTCTTAATCGTCTTAATCCTCTCCCTGAGTACTGGCCTTGCCGGCTTGCAGGCGGACTAGCGCCTCTTTGATTGCACCCTCATCGCTGCAGGGTGCCAGACGAATCAAGCGCATGAAGCTCATCTGTTTCAGGAGCCGGTTCAGCTGATTTAGCTTCCAGGCCGCCATGCTATGGCCCTCAGCCTCATGTGGCAAGGATGCCAAATGCTGCTCCATCAAGCCTACCGTGTCTGCTGCGCCTTGGGGCAGGTTCAATGTTGAAACGCGGGCATTGAGGTGCGGTAGCAGCAAACCGAGCAGTGCCGATTCGCTCAGTTCTTTCAAAGAGTCTCGCTGACGCTTATCTAGCTTCACTGCGCGGCTGGAGTGTGGTACGTGGCAATATTCACAGTGAACGCCGTTGGGGCAATTCCCATAGCGGAGAAACCTCGGCTGGGAGCGGTCAAATCCTTTCACGCAAGGAAGCCCTGTGCTGAAACTTCCTGAGCAGCGTCTGTCTACTCTGAGCCTTCATTATACCCCTACACGGCGATCCGCATTGCCCCTGCACCCCCTGGTGTCTTGGGCTGCTGAGTTGGATTTGAGGTGGAGGGGGGGGGGGGGGGNNGGGGGGGGGGGGGGGGGGGGGCCGCTTTGGGGCTTGAGATGCATGTCACAGCAGTTTCCCCATGCCCCGAAATTCCAGACCTGACTGCCGGATACCGGAACCAAACAGCTGGGGGCCTGGATCATGCACAAGTAAGTATGCTATGACAAGGCTATGACATGTTTGTGCATCCTGAAAAGAGGAGCCTGCGTAACTATCCTGGCTCCTACTGCCTGAGTGGCAATGCCACGTCATGCTATCAACAAAGGAATTGCTTCAATACCCAGTTTGATTCTTTCCAAACCGATTGTTCGTGCGGGCACAAGTGCGGGCCGGGGGTGCAATACCCGGGTTTAAGACTTGTGATCAATCGCAACAACAAACACCCTGCAAAACCACAAGTTCCGAAAAGCTCCCTTTAGATTCCCAAAACAAGCCCCCCCCCAAACCCTAAACCCAAAACCCTATATATAGACCCTAAACAAGCCCGAAACCCTTGCAACCCTAAATCCTGAACCCTAAACTAAACCCTGGCGAGAAGCAGGCATGGCTTCCTGCAAAGCTCCGGGTGGCCATAACTTCCCTTGGAAGGAAGAGTCGCAGCGTCTGCCTTGCATGGTACCGTAGAGAACTACTCGGGTTTTTGGGATTACTACAGTTTCGTTGTAGGGTTTAGGATGTGTTTTGGGATTTCTCCGGTATTGGTGTTGGGATTTATAGTGGCTTCTCCTCTCGGATTGCATTCAGGGCTAGGGGTGTACATCTAGAAACATCAATCTGCAGGATTGTGGCTTGGGATATATGTTCTTTGGGCTTCGCGGTTCTACGAGGTTCAATAAGGAATCAAGGCAATCCGATTGCGAACCGTTCCGGCACGCAACACCGTGATATGCTCTTGAATGGAGGTGACGAGGCTGCAGGCCCAAAGAGTGATAACGCCGAATCCTCCAACATCACCCAGGTCCTGTAAACCCCTTACGAACCACCCTTGCCGGTGCGGCCTTTACTGGGGTTGGCTGCTCCTCTTGTTTCGTGGCCAGAACCGGCACAGGCTCCTCGCGAACTCTCTCGCTGAGGCTGAGGACGATCTCTCCAGCAAAACAGGATGACACTGAGAAGAACACGCTGCGATAATGAACCTGTCGAAAATGACGCTGGCAGCTGTGGTGGCTAGTAATTAGCGGTCGTCGTAAGACAATCTAGAAGCAGTAGTAGTGGCGGCGGCGGCAGCAACAACTCACCAGCAGCAAGTTGGAGTAGGAGTAGCAGTAGTGCAAAAATAGGACAAGATGGAATCAAAGGGGAAGGAAGGTACTTAAACCCGGCCGAACCCCTAAAGAACCAGGGCATCTACAAAACCCTGTCACCTCTTTTTCCTTGAGCCAAA